GTGTGTGTGTGTGTGTGTGTGTGTGTGTGTGTGTGTGTGTCATATCATATCAGTAACCAGTCATTTAAAACTAACTAAATCTGTCTTTCTTTATTTCACTGATTCATTTTGTTTGTATCTACTGAATGACTTAATCACCCTGCGAATGTGAGTTTATAATTTTCTATGAATGGTTTTTCATGTGGTCATGTATGTGGAAGGTTCATATATGCAGCTTTATGATAAAAAAAATAATCGTTTAGTCCATGGATTTATGTTTTTTGACTTACACAGATTTCTTTGAACATTATTGCAGTTAGTTATGGCACTGCGGCCCATGACGCACCGCAGAGAAATACAAGCCTGCTTTAAGACGGTAACCATCTTCATTCAAGCACAACTGTGCAACTGGTTTCGGTGTAACCTGCAGATATCCAAGCCAATAATTCAATTCCATTCATTGTTTATTAATGTTGATACATTTTAACTTCGTACTAACTATTTGCTTAAGAGACCGTCTTTTCAGTTACAGTTGCAACACTAGTAGTAGTATATCTTAACAACTATACAGTAATAGTAAAGCTGAAAAGCAGCCACAGTCTCTAAGTGGCATTAAAAATAATGAGTCTAAAGTTCCCTGTGCGTGAGATTATCACTGCTTCCTGACACCAGCAGTGCAGGATTATTTCAAGTGTCTAAATCACTTGTTTGACTGTGTTGACTTGCAGCACAGAAATGCACTGTTCTCTTCGTCCAGCACCTTCTCCACTGCCAGAGATCCAGTTTGAATGTCACTCTTTGTTGCTGAACATTTGTCCTCATGAGGCCTCCTTCATATTTTTGCAGGAGATTTAGAGACGTGAAAAGAACATACCTCATTCCCTCACATGGCAGCTTTTTAAATCTGTGCAGGTTAAAAACTATCAAGCTTCCTTTGAATGAAGATGGAATAATAAGCATGCATTCAGTAGTTTGACTGTAAGTGAGTAGTAAAGATCAAAACTTCCAGTGAAGAACATTTTTATTTTATTGTGTTCTGGAGATCTTAAACTTAAGAGACCAGAGTCTCTGTTAGTGTGTGTGAGATGGTAGTTGGGAAGCTGAAGACCTTCATATGATCCTCTGATCTGTAGTTGTACTTGAGGTCCCCCTACAGTACAGGGAATAATTGCAACACTCGTGCCAACTGCTGGAATTTCCAAACATTGAGGATGATGTCAAAGGGAAAATCAGCTTTGATGGAGATGGCCAAAAATATTCAAACCTGGCCATTTCTGATGTTTCAGTGACTGACAGTGCCGTGTATTTCTGTGCTGCTAGTCAGCACAGTACTACAGATTCCACTGAAGTCAATACAAAAACCTCTCCTAATGTCTCTGACAGATTCATATCTGAACACCTGCTGCCAGTCTGCAACCAAATCCAGACATTGAAAAAAATGACAGACTAACCGATGAAATTTGATCCCCTTTGAAGTCACATTTGAAGCTCAATTAAATCCTTAAGATTTCCTTTAATTGGTGAAAGCAGCAACAAATTAATTATGTTCACTGACAGAACACTGACATGCAATTCCTATAATCAAGCTGGACCAGTTTCCTTGTCAAGAATTGTCAGCCAGAGAAAATAAAAAAATAAAAAACAATCAAAAAAATACAACATGTTCTAAAATCCAGCTTCCTCAGTCATCATATGTTGTTGTTAATGGAAATCATGACCTGTAGGCAGACCAGCAGCATCACATATGCTTGCATCTACATCCGGAGTGACAATTTCATTGAGCAACACTCCCGCCTCCAACTCTTCATACAACTGTCTCAAACAGGTCATGCCAAACAGAACGTGGACATCTTCATCATGAGCAAACGACGTCGCCTCATATTTTTATTCTTATTGCTGTGGGTATCAGGTAATTCCCAATAAACTTTATAATACAAATTCAACTTAAACCATTTCATGTTTTTAAACAATTTATTTTAATCGTCTGTCATTTTGTTTTAAGAGATTTAGGATAACAAAAAATATGTAATGCTTAGTAGAAATGAACAACTGATCATGATCGCTTCTATTGTTACACACAGGTCTAACTGATGGGGGGGAAGTCAAGCAGACCTCCATGCTCTGGAAAAACCAGGGTGATAATGTATCTATAGAATGCAGTCATACCTATGGCAGTAGCTATTTCCAAATGTACTGGTACAGACAGCTGCCTGGAGAACTAATGAAACAAATGGTTTTTACTACTGCAAACTCCCAACCTGACTTTGAACCAGACTTCAGGGATGAAAAATTCTCAACCACCAAGACTGACGCTCACAGTGGGACACTGATAGTGAAGAATTTGGTGCCAGGAGATCAAGGCTTGTATTTCTGTGCTGTCAGTATGCACAGTGATACAGCCACACTCAACACTCGTACAAAAACTCCAGATCATAAACTGTAGGGGGATGTCAAGGACCACAAATACTCACAACTGAACGTGGATTCATCGTGTGAAAGGTGACACCACAGATAACAAGATGACAGAGCTCCACACAGAGCAGTGACACAACCACCTGCAACCCTTCATAGCAATATAAATTCATACTGTCATTTATTCGTGTTTCAAAGACTACTACAACACAGACATTATCAAACACGTTCACCTCTATTGTTTGATGCTTCTGCTATGGATGAGAGGTGACTTTGACTAAGGTCCCATCTAGAGCGTTCAGTATTTCAGGACCTTTTGCATTACTTGTTTTTTCTGCAAAAAACTAAAACAGTATAGGATAACAGCTCTTTGAGATTCATGCACTTCCACAACTTTGTGACAGCAGAAACCTGGCCATTTCTAATGTTTCTGTGACTGACAGTGCTGTGTATTTCTGTGCTGCTAGTCAGCACATAAATACAGATTCCACTGAAGTCAATACAAAAACCTCTTCTAATCTCTCTGACAGATTCATATCTGAACACCTGCTGCCAGTCTGCAACTAAATCTAGACTTTGAAAAAAAGAGACTGACTAATTGAACAAGTTTGATCCCCTTTGAAGTCACATTTGAAGCTCAATTAAATCCTTAAGATTTCTTTAATTGGTGAAAGCAGCAACAAATTAATTATGTTCACTGACAGAACACTGACATGCAATTCCTATAATCAAGCTGGACCAGTTTCCTTGTCAAGAATTGTCAGCCAGAGAAAATAAAAAAATAAAAAACAATCAAAAAAATACAACATGTTCTAAAATCCAGCTTCCTCAGTCATCATATGTTGTTGTTAATGGAAATCATGACCTGTAGGCAGACCAGCAGCATCACATATGCTTGCATCTACATCCGGAGTGACAATTTCATTGAGCAACACTCCCGCCTCCAACTCTTCATACAACTGTCTCAAACAGGTCATGCCAAACAGAACGTGGACATCTTCATCATGAGCAAACGACGTCGCCTCATATTTTTATTCTTATTGCTGTGGGTATCAGGTAATTCCCAATAAACTTTATAATACAAATTCAACTTAAACCATTTCATGTTTTTAAACAATTTATTTTAATCGTCTGTCATTTTGTTTTAAGAGATTTAGGATAACAAAAAATATGTAATGCTTAGTAGAAATGAACAACTGATCATGATCGCTTCTATTGTTACACACAGGTCTAACTGATGGGGGGGAAGTCAAGCAGACCTCCATACTCTGGAAAAACCAGGGTGATAATGTATCTATAGAATGCAGTCATACCTATGGCAGTAGCTATTTCCAAATGTACTGGTACAGACAGCTGCCTGGAGAACTAATGAAACAAATGGTTTTTACTACTGCAAACTCCCAACCTGACTTTGAACCAGACTTCAGGGATGAAAAATTCTCAGCCACCAAGACTGACGCTCACAGTGGGACACTGATAGTGAAGAATTTGGTGCCAGGAGATCAAGGCTTGTATTTCTGTGCTGTTAGTATGCACAGTGATACAGCCACACTCAACACTCGTACAAAAACCTCAGATCATGAACTGTAGGGGGATGTCAAGGACCACAAATACTCACAACTGAACGTGGATTCATCGTACCAATTCAACTCAAACTTCTTAATGTTTTGAAACAATTTATTTCAACTTACAGTTATTTTGTTCCAGGAAATTCTGGATTACTAAAAATCTTTAATGCTGTACAAGTAGAAATGAACAATATTTGAAATTATAACTTTTATCATTACATACAGGTCAAACCTGTGGAAGTGATGCCAACCAGATTTCCATGTTATGGAAAAAAGAGAATGAAGATGCAACTATACACTGCAGCCATATCAAGGGCAGTAGCTATTACCAGATGTACTGGTACAGACAGCTGCCTGGAGAACTAATGAAACAAATGATGTTTCTGTGCTGTCAGTGAGCACAGTGATACAGCCACACTCAACACCTTTACAAAAACTCCAGATCATGAACTGTAGGGGGATGTCAAGGACCACAAATACTCACAACTGAACGTTGATTCATCGTGTGAATGGTGACACCACAGACAACAGGATCACAGAGCTCTCTCTTCACCACAACAGATCAGTACAGTGTCCACATCACTGCAGTCGGCGCTTCAACCTGTCTGTCAGCCTCATGCTCCTCCCTCCCCTCACTTGTGAACAAGACTCTCCACCTGGGGTAGTGACTCTGACCCTCTGTGGGTACATCACCATTTTGCAGGTCTTGCACTTGGAGGCGCTGATTCTCATTCCCGGTGTTTCACACTTGGCCTTGAACATCTGCAGTGCCAGCTGCAACAGTTGAAGTCTTGGCTAAGCCATTTACAGACTTAAGGGGGACCCTAAATGACATTTACAATCCCATCCACAATTAGAAAGTATGTATATATACACACATATGCACATACAGTTTGAGCAACCTTGTTGATAGTCATTATTTTCGTTGGTTGTTACAATAAAAAAATGTCAGTTAAATATATCATATAGGAGACACACACAGTGATATTTGAGAAGTGAAATGAAGTTGATTGGATTTACAGAAAGCATGCAATAATTGTTTAAACAAAATCAGGCAGGTGCATAAATTTGGGCACTGTTGTCATTTTATTGATTCCAAAAGCTTTACAACTAATTATTGGAACTCAAATTGGCTTGGTAAGCTCAGTGACCCCTGACCTACATACACAGGTGAATCCAATAATGAGAAAGAGTATTTAAGGGGGTCAATTGTAAGTTTCCCTCCTCTTTTAATTTTCTCTGAAGAGTAGCAACATGGGGGTCTCAAAACAACTCTCAAATGACCTGAAGACAAAGATTGTTCACCATCATGGTTTAGGGGAAGGATACAGAAAGCTGTCTCAGAGATTTAAGCTGTCTGTTTCCACAGTTAGGAACATATTGAGAAAATGGAAGACCACAGGCTCAGTTCAAGTTAAGGCTCGAAGTGGCAGACCAAGAAAAATCTCGGATAGACAGAAGCGACGAATGGTGAGAACAGTCAGAGTCAACCCACAGACCAGCACCAAAGACCTACAACATCATCTTGCAGCAGATGGAGTCACTGTGCATCGTTCAACCATTCGGCGCACTTTACACAAGGAGATGCTGTATGCGAGAGTGATGCAGAGGAAGCCTTTTCTCCGCCCACAGCACAAACAGAGCCGCTTGAGGTTTGCTAAAGCACATTTGGACAAGCCAGCTTCATTCTGGAATAAGGTGCTGTGGACTGATGAAACTAAAATTGAGTTATTTGGGCATAACAAGGGGCGTTATGCATGGAGGAAAAAGAACACAGCATTCCAAGAAAAACACCTGCTACCTACAGTAAAATATGGTGGTGGTTCCATCATGCTGTGGGGCTGTGTGGCCAGTGCAGGGACTGGGAATCTTGTCAAAGTTGAGGGACACATGGATTCCACTCAGTATCAGCAGATTCTGGAGACCAATGTCCAGGAATCAGTGACAAAGCTGAAGCTGCGCCGGGGCTGGATCTTTCAACAAGACAACGACCCGAAACACTGCTCAAAATCCACTAAGGCATTCATGCAGAGGAACAAGTACAACGTTCTGGAACGGCCATCTCAGTCCCCAGACCTGAATATTATTGAAAACCTGTGGTGTGAGTTAAAGAGAGCTGTCCATGCTCGGAAGCCATCAAACCTGAATGAACTAGAGATGTTTTGTAAAGAGGAATGGTCCAAAATACCTTCAACCACAATCCAGACTCTCATTGGAACCTACAGGAAGCATTTAGAGGCTGTAATTTCTGCAAAAGGCGATCTACTAAATATTGATTTCATTTCTTTTTTTGTGGTGCCCAAATTTATGCACCTGCCTGATTTTGTTTAAACAATTATTGCACACTTTCTGTAAATCCAATAAACTTCATTTCACTTCTCAAATATCACTGTGTGTGTCTCCTATATGATATATTTAACTGACATTTTTTATTGTAACAACCAACGAACAGGAAAATAATGACTATTAACAAGGTTACCCAGACTTTTGCATCCCACTGTACACACACACAAAATATGTGTTTGTGGGATCAATTCTAAACTATAGTGACAGTCTCACCTGCAGCCAATAGGACATGGATACTGTTTTCATCAAACAGGTAGTCCTCTGATTATTCTTCATTTTCAAGTGGACTTCAGGTCATTCATAATCTGATGAACATATTCATATTTTTCCCAATAATGTAAGAGTTCCAGGGGTTTTCAGAGTGTTTCAATGGAAAACTGTGTCAAATATATATCGCATGTAGTAAACGTTTGTGTTAAACTCACAGGTCTGTCACAGAGACTCCATAATCTAGGGGAAAACACAGGGCAAAGATGCAACGATCAGCTAAAACCACATCAATTCATCGTTATAAAATTAATTGTGTTCACCAGTTATAATGTTTACCGTTTTAGATACAGTCCCACTGAAAAGAAACAAAAGGAATACATGTGTTGAATTAATAATCAGCAGCACACCGAGTCAGTTTCTATAGAAGGCTGAGTGCCAGAATCTAACGCCACATGGCTTGTGCTCCATTTACAGTACCCTCACTCCAGTAGGTGGAGACAGACCTCAATAAATTAAATCTTCACGCCCACAGATTGTCGAATGACAACAGTGTTTTCCACTGCTAGTTTAAGAAATGAAGTAGAAACCTGCTGACACCTCCCATGTGCATCATCTGGTAACCGCGATCTATTCTCATCCAAAGCTGATGAACCGACTATACTGAAAGGAAAGCAGAGATAAATCGTTTAAAATGATCATTGTGGTCACTATATTTTGTTTTCTGCACTTCCCAGAAATTACAGGTAGGGAAAACAACAATAATTATAACAATACAATGATTATAACATAATGATTCCTGTATTTAAACACCTGTTTTTCCACAGGTGCATCTGACACAAAAGTCTCTCCCAAACACCTCCTTCCATCATTAGGAGAATTGGTGAATCTGTTCAAAGTGAAATCAAATGTTCACACAGCATTAAAGATTATGAGGTCATTCTTTGGTACAAGCAAGACCAACACCAAACTTTGGAGATCCTGGGATATGTCAACCTGCAGTTCGTGAATAAAGAAAGCAATCCGAGTGGAAATATCAGCTTTGACGGAGATGGCCGTAAAAAGTCAGCCCTCACCATCTATAATCTAAAGTTCAGTGACAGTGCAGTGTATTTCTGTGCTGCCAAACGCCACAGTGCTGCAGTTCACTGTAAAGTCAGTACAAAAACCTATTCCCTTATTTGCCTGACAGAACAACAAAGTGCTGGGGATCCTGAGCACCTGCAGCTACCCTTCCTTTCAAGTTTGAGTTTGTTAAATTCATGTTCAATTAAATATGATATTTTAAATACACAGTAATTTGCTTTAGCAATGCTCTCTATGCACTTCAAACAAGTTGAAAAAAACTTCCTTTCTGAAGCTGGAAACATTTCTGTCAGGTAATCCGCGTTTTGAATGTTATCAAATCTGTCTTGATCTAGAGAACTGGTAGTCCATGAGGAATTCTGTATGCACTGTGGTGGGACCTCTTATCAGCTGATACTGTATTTTTGTTCTGCGTTTCAGGGACCAATGTGCAACATCTGTATAAGACAGACATTCATTTTCATCACAAAGTGGCATCTATTATCCCTCTGCACGTATGAATCGTGCATCAAGAATAGTTTACACAAACTCATTTTTACTAGTTGATAAATGCAAGTCAGTCAGTGGATACAAAACTAAATGATTCAGTAAAATATAGAAAGATAACTTTAGATACAGATTTAAATGATTGTGGTCTGATCTCACATGAGTAAAAGGAATATCGATGCTGAAGTGACTACAAACAAAGGGGACACAGGGGAAAGATGAATGATTTTACACCCCCAGGGGGAGACAAATGTCAGCAAATAAATAAGGTAGCAAACATTTTGCATAGCCCAAAGCCACAGTATCTCACTATAGCCATACTGATAAAGTCAAAGCTTTGGTTTCATATCTGTCATCATTTAACTGTGATGAACTTCCACAGGACAGAAGGAATGGTATTCAACATGATTCCACAGTCTTCATTCTATTATTTCTTTCAGCTCATGGGAAGTAGGTGAGTATACTAATCATGAGAAATCACTCCACACAGCTGGTAATTTCATTTCTAAAATAATCATGTGTTATTTTATTCCCAACAGGAGTTTCTAGCACCTACAATGTCCTGCAAACACCTCCTTCCATCATTAAGAAAGTTGGTCAATCTGTTTCCAGTGAGATCCACTGTTCACACAACGTGTCATTTTTAACGGATTCTCTGGTATAAACAAGACAAACACAGAGCTCCTAAAGTTCCTCGGATACCTAAATGTAAACTCCCCAATCCCCGAGGATGATGTGAAAGGAAAAATCAGCTTTATGGAAATGGCAAAAAACATTCAAACCTGACCATTTCTAATGTTTCAGTGACTGACAGTGCTGTGTATTTCTGTGCTGCTAGTCAGCACAGTACTACAGATCCAACTGAAGTCAATACAAAAACCTCTCCCAATGTCTATGACACAGATTAATATCTAAACACCTGCTGCCAGTCTGCAACTAAACCAGCCTCAGAAAA